CTTGTTTGAACTAGTCAGTATATTTGAATATGTACATGTCTATATTTATATGTAAATTTGAGTGAATAGCAGTTGATTATTTCCTTTTCTCTTTGAGTAACATGTGATATTCATATTAGCTGTTGTTGTGGTTGAAAGTCCTTAAGTGATGTGGTTTCTGTTATTTGTGATCCTGTTCACAATATTTGAAAAAGGATGGTCTTTGCCAAAATCCACAGGCTTCACTCACTCAAATCCATTTTTAACCATTGATCTTAGAAAGCAGTTGTATACAGCTGATAGTTTAGATATTTCAGAATGGGTTTGGCACTATGCATCACATCCATGTGAAATTTTCAAGAACATGACTCAAGTTTTCAGGTTAACATTTTGTAGCAGTTTGTGGTATTTTTAAAATAGAATTTCAAAGTCATGATGACTCAGAGCATTTTTGATTAGCCCAATACTGTTATGATAAGAAGTTTGCTGAATATTAAATATAAAGTCTTTTTATTTTATGGATTAATGAATATTGGAAAATAAGAAGTTTATTTTAATCTCATCATGTTTTAATGACAGTCTCGGTAATCTTCAAGTATTAGTGATATTTACTAAGTTTAATGTACATGGTGTGACACAAGAATAATCAGAGGACATGGAAATTGTTACATCTTAATGATGTGACTGTTTTAAAAATCAGTTTTTGAAATACACCCTGTTTTTAAAAACCTAGTATTACTTACATTTTTTAAAAACCTAGTATTTGAAATCCTTGCTTTTTTAAAACCTGGTATTGAAATCCTTGATTTTTTAAATGTTGTATTTGAAAACCTTACTTTTCTAAAAACATGGTATTTTTAAGATCCTTGTTCTCCATACTTAAAACCTGTTATTTGAAATACTTACATTCTTAAAACCTGGTATATGAAATACTTGCCTTTTTCTTTTTAGCCGCATATTTGAGATCCATTTTTTAAAAATACTTGCTATTTTTCTAAAACCAAATATTTAAAATCCTTGTCTTTTCTAAAACATGGTATTTGAAATCATTGTTTTTTAATAAAAAAAGCTTGTATTTGAAATACTTACTTTATTAAACATGCTATTTAAATACTTGCTTTATAAAACCCTGGTATTTAAATCTTTTAAAAAAACTTTGTATTTGAAATCCTTACTTTTTTTTAAAAACCTAGTATTTGAAATCCATGTCTTTTTTCTGATTTTAAACTGAGTATTTGAAGTCCTTGTTCTGCACCCCTAGAACCTGTTATTTGAAATACTTACATTCTTAAAATCAGGTATTTTAAATACTGGCTTTTTTTTCTTTTAACCAAGTATTTGAGATCTATTTTTTAAAATACTTTCTATTCTTCATTGAAATCCTTGTTTAAAAAAAACAAAACAAACATGGTATTCAAAATCATTGCTTAAAAAACAAGAATAAACTTGTATCTGAAATATTTATTTTTTTTATAAAAAATATGGTATTTGAAATACATGATTTTCCTTTTTAACCAAATATTTGGGAAACATTTTTGAAATACTTGCTATTTTTTTAAAATCAAGTATTTGAAATCTATGTTTTTTTTTTAAACATTTGAAATCATTGCTTTAAAAAACAAAATAACCTTGTATTTAAAATACCTACTTTTTTAAAACCGGGTATTTGAATTCCTTGCTTTTTACCCTGGTCTGAATATCAACAACTGGCACCAGTGGGAAATATATAAAAATCCCAACCATAAAGCAATCATTTTAGTAGTGATAGTTGTATATTTATATACTTATGCAGTTTTGTACTTATAGTATTCAATGTATATTTAAATATTTATCATTGTATATTCACAGAATTCATGATGCAATGCAATTTCTATGATTGTTTATCTAACAGCTTTATTGTTTATCATACTCTTAAGTTGATTGAAATGATGAAGATGAAGAATTTTCATTAATAATTTTGTTATAATGCTCATATAAGCTTGTAGTTCTGGTTAATAATATTCCAAGGAAAACAATGGAACAAAAGATTAGTGAAGAAAATTTTTAATCACATGGATTAATAATGCAATGGCAGTGAATACTGTAATCAGTGAGGTAAAGTGTGTGACATACTTTGTGACACTTGTTCCTATGAGCAGAAGTCCTACTCATAGTGAGTAGACAATTAGTATCGAGTAGGTCAATTGTCTTACTACACAACTAATTTTTGATTAGCTTACCATTCCTTTAATTATCATTTTTATTGCAATTTCCAAAGATAGTTTGCACTGTATGATTGTAGTAAGCAGCATAAATAAAGAAACACTAATACAAAATTAATGACAATAATTCATTTAAATTCAGACAGTGTAAGACTATTATATCTACTACTATGGAAGTAAACAAACAATATAGTGTGGAAAAAACTGATAAGTAAGAATGTAGGTATATAAATAGATTTGAATTTTTCCCACTGATGAGTTGTAAATCAGTCAGGCATTATCCATGTTAGATGATCTCCAAATGAGATGAGTCTTTCTGCTTACTTAATGGTAATAGAATGTAAAAATGACTGATTGTTGAGATAAAAATTAACAAAAATAAGATAAAAGGCAAAAATTAATAATCATGAAAATCCAAGCAGCATAAGACTATTACTTTGTTATTAGGTTAAGGCTTGTTGTTTGAAGTTGAGAAAATGTCATGCATTAACAAAGTGTTGAATTGGTTGAGAAAATAGACAAACAAAAATATGAAATTGAATAAAATTTTTTATTCTATCAGGGACATTTTTGTGTAGAGAAAGTTTCAAGGAATGTTCCTGAAAGAAAGGGCAAATTCAAGAATATTCTTAAGAGTTTCTGTAGAGAATAAAGAAAAAGTTGAAATTACTGTTGGTGAGTTAAAGAGTGTGTGAGGTTTATTGTCTAACCTATGTGCATCTATTCTATGGGTGTTGTGGAGTGGTTTCACAGTGGAGGCTTGTATTTGTACTAAGTCGGTTCTAAAATAGGTTCGACGTACAAAACGTTAGGAACTTGATATAATAGGTAATGACACAGAGAAATCTAGTTGTGGTTGCTGATACTTTAATATCCGACTAACGGTCATCTGACATCAACTGACTGAGTGACTCACTCAGCGACTTAGCGACTGCTACTTATTATAGGTGGGAAATCTATTAACTATAGAATAGGTGTGTTCCACTATAGTAATGGGGAACTAATTTTAGCATCCTATCACAAGCTCAGCCTTAAGTGCAAGAGGAAGAGCTAGCCTCTTGGGATTTACAGCATGTATGTTCCCAATTTATTTTTTATGTATTCCCAAAAGTTGAAAAGAGGTTGCTGTTGACAGGGCTATCAACACATGTATGTCTAGTGAAATGTTTTAACATTTGCTACAACTTCTAGACATAAAAGTAACAGAAATATCATGAAAGAAATACTAGTCAAAAGTTAACAATGAAAATGCATCTAACACATTCAGATAATTATAATAAAAGGTAAAGCAGTCAGGTAAATAATAGTAAAATTCATACAGTAAATTAGGAATATTGTTTAAATACTGTACATACATATTGGACACTATAAATACACGAATGAATGTAGCCTGAATTTTGTTACAATGATGTTCACTCTGTACAAGGCCTAAGAGCCACTCGAGGAAGTGGGTTACAGGGTTAGAAGCACTGTTTATGCAGATATGTGGGGAAGATAATAGTTAACTCTAGACTCAACAAGTTAAGATTGGGGATCAGTTTCACAAAGCAGTGGTTCATGGGAAGAAGCTGCTCAAGTGAAGCTTACATCTTACCAATGGAATATGAAGAGAATGAGGGTGGTTCGCTACACCGTATATGGCATGGTGAGTTTTAGCCATGAAGATTAGAACTGGAAATAGTGATAGAGCAGTGAGTTGCTTGCGACATTTTGTCTGGGGGAAAGGGGTTGTAAGGAGGAAAATGATTTGTCACCAATAAGGACAAGGAGACGCTTTTGTACTCTATTGAGACCGGAAAGTGAAAACTGGGCAGTTTCTACCCATATATGGCAGTAGTACTCCATTTTTGTCCTTATCTGGCTCTTGTAAAGGTAGAGAATAGCAGGATGAGTCAGGGAACAGTACAGAGAACTGACCATTTTTCCATTATCTTTCACAATCATATGTATGAGTTCCACAAGGACTGGATTGAGGAAGGCTTCCTAAGAGAACACCTGTTCATCATGATAGGTGAAAATTCAGGGTCTACTCCTCAGCTCTAAGGCAGATTTTGTGCCATTGATCAAGTAAAAAGCCTGTATTTTAAATACTGATTTCCAAATAATTTCCACATAAATAAGTTTCGTATAAAAACAAAGTAAATGTATTCCACTGAATTGTTAAAAACACTTTTAGAAATAATGATAGAGTTTTTAGAATTTTCAAGTATTGTTTACAGAATTAAAGATGATCCTTTATCAGAGCTTATAGACTAGCACAACAAAATCCCAAACAAAGATATTTATCAAATAACAAAAACCACGTCATTTGAACACTTCCAATAGCAGCAATAACCAAAATGAGTAGCAATGTTAATGAGAAGAGAAAATATTGATATAAGATGTTAACTTTCCACACTACCAAAAACAAAAAGTTTGGAAGGAAACTCCCATTAATATTAGAAAGTACTATAATATTTAGTGAACTTGAGAAGCCTAATGTCTTGAAAAACTGTATTAATAAAAAGATTTCATCAATTTTAACTAACAGTAACACTAAATGTTCGGCAAATGAATGTCAAATATCTCCTGTATGAAAATTGTTAATGTTACTATTACCAAGTATTACTGGGGTTTATACAGTATTGACATTGTTTAAATACTCAAGTATTGACAATGTATTGACAATGTTTAAATACTCACAAGTATTTATGTTGATTATTCTCCTAGTAATGATATAGCTAATAAAATCCTTCAATATTAGTGTAGTTTATAAAGTTGCCAGGTATTCAGGTGGCTTATAAAGTTTCCAGGTATTGATAAGGTAGAGAACATCATGCAGAGACACTGGTTCCCATATAATCACTGAAGTTAAGCAACATCAAGCCTGGTTAGTACCTAGATGGGTGACTGCTTGGGAATACCAAGTGCTATGAAATTGGATGTGCAGTTGGTGTAATGGATAATGGCTTGGAATTGTTAAATGGAGAGTTGAGTTCCAATTCTCATTGGTTTTATTATATTCACTGATGTGCAAATACACTTGGAAAAAGTATGAATTGACTTCTTCTACCCCAAGATATGGGTTAATTAGTAAAACTTGTATCAGTAAACTATTATTAGCAAACATGGACCTTCATGCCCACAAAAAATGGAGTGTCAAAAAATGTTTGTTTTTTTTTAGTATAAAAAGTCTTATAATCTAAAAATATTTTCTGACTTTAAAGCTACAAAGGGTTGATAAGCCCTAAAAAATGAATGAATCAATCAACTGATAAGGTTTTCAAAGTAGCCAAGTACTGATATTGTTCATAAATTTTATAAGTAGAGACAGTGTTCATAATCATTTCAAATATTGACATTATTTATATAAAGTTCACAAGTATTTATATAATTCATAAATTTTTTTAAAAAAGTATAGTGGTTACAAAGTTTCCAAGTATACATATTGTTTACAAAGTCCATAGGCATTGATATTATTTATAAACATTTCCAAAACGAAACTGCTCTCTTTTAATCATCTGAAGAAAACCTTATTTGTTTTCCATCAGCATGGCTGATGCTAACCTCCAGCAGAGTGAATCATTATGCCTTCTTGAGTTAACATTTTCCGCTGATATGAAGTGGAAATATTATATTGAATAAATTGCTAGGTCTGCTCCTAGGAAAGTTGGTTCACTGTGTTGTACTAAACAATTTTTCTCTCTAGAATCTATCTTGCACATTTATAAGTCTATTATTCATTCATACTTTTAATACTACTATCACATCTGATCTGGTGCTTTTACTATGTATTTAAAGATTCTAGATAAAATACAAAGAAGAATCTGCAATGTTATTGGTCTTGATCTAGCTTCTCAGCTTCAGTCACTTTCCCACCGCCGTAATGTAGCTTCCCTTCACATTTTCTAAAAATACTTTCATGGTAATTGTTCTGATTAACTTTCTCCCATTGTACTTAAACTTTATGAATTTAAGTGCACTACTAGATTGGTGGCATGGTCTTATCATTTTATAGGCTAGATGTAAGCATAAATTCTATGCTAACAGTTTCTTTTCTTGCACTTCTTGCTTGTGGAACTCTCTTCTAGCTTTTTACTTTCCAGTCAACTTTGATCTTCAAAAATTTATAATGCAATATCAATTGTTATCTTCTGTCTTCTCAATTCCTGTTCTTTTGTTGTTCTCTCCTTAATAATGTTTTCTTTTTCTCATATTCTCTCACACTCAGTAACCCTTTGTGTCTTAGAGGCTTTTTTGCTTTGCTTGGGATGAAATGATTAAAAAGATGTAAGTATTGTTTTTTTAAAATAAGGTTTTCCTGTATTGATAGTGTCTGCAACTTTTCAAGTGTTTGTATTGTTTATAAATTTTCCAAGTATTGTTGTTGTTCATAACATTTGATGTTTAGATTAACTTGTAAAAAAATTAATTAATGAAAATCCTTTTTTCTATTTAGAACTATTTTCACAACTACTCAACTGGTCTTCAGTCAGTTAAAGATGGTGACTGTTGGGGTCTGCTCTTTATAGACAAAAACTTTACTGAAGATCTCATAATAAGGTATTTATAATCTTGATTCTTTTTATTATTAGGAGAAGCCATATACCTGGAGGAGACATGACTAGTTTTTTTTTTTTTTTTTATTGATTTGTGTTCTATGGCTTATCAACCCTTTGCAGGTTATTTAAAGTCAGAAAATATTTTTAGATTGTAAGAATTCTTTTTTTGTTTTGGGAGAGATAATGATGGTTTAATGATACAACTCTTATTAATTAACCTATAGCTGAGGACAGAAGAGGTTTCTGTGTAAGTGAACCCAATGAGAATTGGAACTTGGCTCTCTGACTAATAATACTGAGCCATTATCCATTACATCACCCACATATCCAAGCTTACAGCACTTGTTATTCCCAATGGATCACCCATCTAGAAACTGATAGGCTGGATGTTGCTTAACTTTAGTGATCATACAGGAACATGTGTTTCAACATGGTGTGTCTGTAAACCCATGAATAGGATATTGGCATGGAAAGTGTATGAGGTATACTGAGTTCTGTTGCTGCTTGATTCTGTTTCCTTAACTTCACACTAATGCCCTTGGAAAAGGCATTATTTCATCTTCCTCCAGCTATTGGTTAAATAGAAGGATAGATTGGTCTCTCTTGCTTTCAGGTGGCAGCCAATTTAGGAGAAGGAAAACCTCTGAATTCAAACCTGCTTGAAGAGCATTGGACTAGACACACTACTGCTACTATGGCCACAGTGGTGCCTTTATGACCTTAAGGGGTTACAGCACACGTGCACACACACACACACACACACACACACACACACACACACACACACACACACACACACACACACACAGAAAAGCTGTATAGAAAATGCATACATGTTAACCCTGATATCTCTCCTGTGGAGTATAGGGTAACAGCCTCATGGTAAGTGTTGCTGCTTTGATTTCTGTAGTAAATATTTTTTGTTCTTATGATATGGAATTGTTAGCCTCACATGTGACCAGTTTGGCTTCAGAGTTTGTTTTTTTTTAATTCTGAACCAAATCTAGAGAGCCCAGTCTACTCTGCTATTAACACCTAGCTGGAGAGAGAAGAGATGGATTCATACATTTTCAAAGGTTAATTGTGCTAAAGTGAACATAACTGCCTCACTTGGAATTTGAACTAGGCATGCCAATCCCATTTTCCATGCTAATAGCCACTATGCTGTATATGTTTTTTAATTGAATTTATAAATTTCCTTTGTTTCATCATTATCTTTATTATTAAAAATTTCTGTTATTTTCTTTTTTCATTAAATTTCATTAAATCTTGAATGAATTATTACAAAACAAGCAAAAAAATAACAGGCATAAACTCAGACAGAAAATTAAAATATAATAAAATATCACAGAAATGCATTTTTTAACATGTTGGTAGCTGTTTATTTAAGGTGTTGACAGCTTGACAGGACAGCTGGAAGTTTATCTAATGTTTTTCTATGGTGGACATAACGGTAAAATTTACTTGAGTAATCTAACATGAGTGCCTTTTTTATATAATTTTTAACTACCCAGTAATCTTAAAAATTTAGGATAATATTCATTTAACTGATGAAAAAGTAAGACAGAATTTTTAAAATTTTAAACTTTATAAATTATTATGATTGAAATTTAAACCAATCTTGTAAAAATTCATTATTCATTGAAATTTTTTTTTCTTAAGATAATAGTGTCCATAATATATCTTATTCATGTAAGCAATTAAAAGCTTTTCTAATTAAATAATGTCTTAGTTTTATTGTATTTTTTTATTTTACGATTCAGAGCAGATTTTTGGTAACTAGGGTCCTGTTTTACAAAAAGAAAATGGTGATTTAAATTCTCCAAGAAGTTCTGCTTTTAATTAATATAAACAACCAAGTTCTATAAAATTTAATTTCTTGAAATTTCATAAAGTTAAATAAATGCCCCTCCCCCATATAACAAGTGTATAATCAAAATATTTTTACAAAGATTTTCTAAATAAGAAACATTTAAAAAATAATTTCACTCATTTGTAAATAAGTCCTTATTATCAGAAAGAGATAGTTGAAATTTCTAGGGCATGTAGTGAGGAAAGAAGACCTAGAAAATTTGATACTCATAGATAAGATTAAAGGCAAGAGGGACAAAGGAAAACAATGCATAACTTACCTGACAAGCTTGAGTAAATGGATAGCAGAACAGGGTTTAGGAGAAATAACAAAAAAGACAAAATTCATTAATAACTACAAAGGTCAGGAAATTGTGGAGGGCCATGATCGCCCATGTCCTGAAGGGCCATGGCACATAGAAGAAGTGAAGAGTGAAGGCTATATGTCCATATTCAGTTTTTGTGACTACTTAATTGAGTATAGACCACTATTTTAAAGCTTTTTCCTGTCTCATTTTGTTTAGATTCTTGGATCCAAAGGCATTGGATAATAATACATTGATTGGTAGTACCATCCAACTCAATTTAGACATGACCAGTAAGTTCCTGTTTTTTTTTGTCTTCCTATTGCTTTCTATATTTCATTTTAGTTACTTTATTTGTTGAACCTGTTGTTTTTTTTATCATGTATAAAGTTACATATTTTGAATAATAACTTTAGTTATCACTCTGTAAACATGCTTTTCGTGCTTAATAATTTTACTTCAAATCTCACCTGCACATATCTCAGTTCTTTTTATTTATTTCTCTATCTACATGAGGTACACATCTACTCCCTCTCTCATTTCACCCTATTCCCATTCACTTTATTTGTGTGTGTGTGTATATATATATATATATATATATATATATATATATATATGTGAAAATATATAAAATAGGAAAGAACTCATTAGGTAAATAATCCAAAGTAGTTTTAACCCCTTGTATGTACACCCTAAGTCAAACCACCCTTCATCCATAAGCATATACCCTCATCAATAGAGAATAGAATCAGCATTAACTCCGCTAATAAACAAATATTCCAACAACACAGTAATTTTTATAACGCAGCCCTAAAAAATAGTGGATACAAAAATGCTAACATCAATTATAGAAACAATTGTACTAACCAGAAGAAAAACAGGAAAAGAAAAATTATTTGGTATACCCTTCTGTTCAACCAAATGGTTAGTATTAAGCTAGGACATAAATTCCTAGCTTTAATTGAAAAACACTTTCCTACTAATAGCAGAATTAGTAAAATCTTTAATAAAAACACCCTAAAATTAAATTATAGTTGCACTGAAAATCTAGAAAGTATAATAAAAAACACAATAATAAAATCCTAAATAATCCCCCATGCCAGAATAGTATTAATAAAACCCTAAACTTAAATTAGACAAAAATAGTGAAAAATTATGTGATTGTAGAAACCCAGAAGGCTGCCCATTGGAAAATATATTCCACGTAAAATCCATCGTATACCAATGTACTATCTCATCCATTGAGAGTCCTAATACTAATATGATATACATTGGGTTTACAAAGAATGAATTTAAAACTAGGTGGAGACAGCATAAAAGCTCCTTCAACAATATTAATAAAAGAAATCAGACATCTCTATCTAAATATTTTTGGCATTTGAAGGAAATGAATAAAACACCAAAAGTAAAATGGAAAATTATAAACAAAACCAGAACTTGTAATACTTGGGATGACCCATGCCCTTTATGCCTACATGAAAAACTACACATTATCAAGTTTCTAAATAATGAAAATTTATTAAACAATAGACATGAGTTAACGGTTTTTTGCCGACATCATCAAATTTTCACATTGAATAAATAGCATAAAAAACAAACAAACACTTAAATAATAAATACAAATTTTAAACTCCATAGTCTAAATAAAAAGTTTAAAAGCCCTACCCAATAATAATAAAAAAAAAACCCTTTATGAAGTCGTCAAAAAAAAACAAATGTTAGCTAATTATGACAGTTTTTTTTATATACACAAAATCCGTTCAGGAAATAAAATAAAATAAAAAAATAAATAAATCTCCATAGACACTTAAACAGACTAGACAATGTCATCTTCTGCTTTAAATTTAGACACCCCAACCTTACCCTGACTTGACCTCTTTGAATGTAACTGTGATATTGATACAAATTATTAACCCTTACGCCCCCTTTTTTATATAATTATTCTAGCCGTTAACATAGTAATTTTAATTTTAATAATGAATATGCTTATAAAAACGCGTAAATTTCAAGAATTAGTTATTCCAAAAAAATTTCACTTGAAAGATTGGTACTTTAATTCAATTTTATTCAAATAATTATATTGAAGTTTCCGGTTCTTGTTTTGAAACATGAGAAGTCTTATGTAGCAATGTAATCATATTTTTAAATATATATATATATATATAAAACACTCTATCTCTGATATTTTTTTACATTATCCCACACCTTAAAACTATATTTTTCATATAATTTATATATATAAATATATATTATATATATATATATATATATATATATATATATGATATATATATGTTCTATATTTCTGAGATGAGGTATTATGTACAGTATTTACATTAGTCAGACTATTGTCCTCATCTTTGTCATGTTGAGATCATAGACAGGGAACACCATTGGAAAATTCGTAAACTTAAGGAATCAGCACATATGCTAGGCCACAAAAATCTCCTGAGCCGACCATACCCAGATGTCCTCAGGGACACATGGCAGAGTGGATAAAGGCGTTGGTTAGATCCAGTGACAGACCCAAAGAAGGTGAGTTCAATTCCTGGTTAAGGCAGTGGAGAACTTTCAGAGGGAAAATTAGCAGGAGATAACTGATAACTGACATCCATCAAACATGGCACGTGGAATTAGAACAGTCTACCCCAGCGATCGAAATAAAGGGTTCAGTTCGAAATTCCAACCACCTGAAGAAGGCCAGAGCGTATTTACAGCCGAAACGTTTCCAACAAATATGGCAACAAAGATGAGGACATTAGTCCGACTAATGTAAATACTATATATATATATTCTCGTTGTATATTATTTTAATAGATACAATTATTTAAGTAAATGTTCTGTTTATAATAAACAGTATTAATTACATTTACCAGCCTGAATTCTGTTTAAGAACATTTAGACCTTGTAACCCTCAGTATTTATGTATTTATGCTGTTATATGATGAAGAGAAAAACTGAAAATACTTTAAAGCTTCTCCAATACCCTAATTATTTCATATTCAATGCAAAACAAAAGGCACTTAAAATATTTCAGAATAAAAAGCCATAATTTTGATTAAAAAAATACTACCTTAATTAAAAGTGAAAGCAATTTACTAAGGCAAAAGTCTATAGAAAGTTATTCGGTTATGAGATCATCTATGGTAAAATTTCATCTAGTTTCATACAACATTTCACCTTTCTTGGCAGGTCTTCTGTGTTTTGTTATCACAATGTGGAGTACTTAAATAATAAAAAACAAAAAGAAAAAGAAAAGCATAGGGAAATTGGATGAGATTAGCTTGACTGCATATCCAGACATATCTGAAAAAAAAAAAATGAAATTTAAAAATTTCAATGTTCCAACATCTTCAATATTTCCTGACTGTGCATAATTGCAACTAATGCTCATGCTTTTATATTGCAACTTCCCCCTCTTGCACATATATAATTTCAACAAAAATATTATTTTAGTCTGATGAAGTCTTTCTAAAGGAAGAAATATATTAAACAGAATTTTCTTTCCACTTTGTCATTCATTTGCTTTATATATATATATATATATATATATATGTATATATTATAATAAAAAGGCTTAAACACTAATATTCCATGGATCCATGGAATATGACCATGGAATATTAGTGTTTAAGCCTTTTTATTATATCCTTACTCTGTCCTGGACATTGAGTTCTACCTGGATTCTATCCTCTCGGAATTTTTATTCAAAAAATATACATGTATGTGTATGCACCTATGTATATATATTTATATATTTTGCATATGTATGTGTATATTTACCACTAATATTATCTATCTATCTATCTATCTATCTATCTATCTATATATATATATGTATATATATAGGGTGACCCAAAAAAAAAAACTTTTAACAATCCAATAAAACCAAGAGTGATGGAAGAAAATATTTTATTCATAGTAATTGAAACTTTAAAACATGCCATTTAAGAAACAATGATGTAATTTTCATTTTTTAAAAATTACGTCCTGTAGAGGGCATCCTCCTGTACGAATGCATTCTTGAAATCTGCTGTTGAGATTCCTCATTGACTGCTGCTAATGCACACTGTTGTCTGTTCCACTGATCCATGGTTACTAAAATGGTGAAATGTATATATATATATATATATATATATATATACTAGCTTAAAAGCTTCACTCTGTGTGGACTTTTAAACTAGTTCCTGCGGAAGGGTAATTAGGCCTCCAGCCCAAAACTAAAAGGACCTCTGGTCTAGCTTAGAAAACAGCAATGATAATTTTGAAGAAATAACTTTGAATTCTTCAATTCATTCCATGGAACTTAAAAACCTCACTTTAACTCTGATCCAGTCCAATTCCTGCCAAAAGACTGATTTTAGACAAAGCACTGATTTGGGCTGAAATTCCAAATCAGGCCAAAAATTGAGTTCTTGAAATCACAAACTCTGTGGAACTTCAAAACCTTATGTCATGAAGCCTGTCACTTTAACTCTAATTCCTTGGCATTTTGAAGAAAAAAAAATGATTTCTTTAATTCACAAAGGTTTGGAGATATTTTAAACTGAATTTAAAACAAAAATATCTAAATTCATAAAGTTTTTGTATTACTTTAAACTCAATGTAAATTAAAAAGTTTTAAAATCACTAATTTTTTTCAGTTATTTTAAAATTTGAATTTTTAACTGTTCCCTCTTCATCCAGATAAAAATCTCAAAGCTGGTTCAAGCACCAGATGATGAGCAGATTTTCAATACTAATTCCAAAAAGGTATAATACATATATGTAGAGCAAGTGTGGCCTGGGTTAGAGGGCTTTCAGACTCATGGATGGACAGACAGAATTTGCCATTCATTTATTTAGAAGATAATATAATCAGATATTGATTCAAGACAATTTATAGATGGTGAAAAAGACAATGAATTGTCCAGAAGTTGATAATATATCTCCTAAGAAATTTAATTCTCCTGGATCTTTCTCTGGCAGTGAATTAGATTGTGATTCAAGACAATTTATGGATAGTTATGAAGGCAATGAAAGTAACAATTACCCTGGTATATCTGTGAAGATATCTCTTTAATATGTTGTATGGTGCTGGTTCCGAATAATTAAAAGATTTAGACAACAGGATAATGTTTTCAAATTGGATTAATAAATGAAAGAATTAGTAATGCTCAGAATTAATTCAGTATGATGTTTTTTTTTTCATAAATGTCCATTGAAGGAAAATAAGGACTTTATATTGATTATTGTATGATGTTTTATTTCATCTTAAAAATGTGGCGAAAGAATGACATTTATTGTGTACAGGGAAGCAGAGAAAAAAATTATATTGACCATTTTATTTTCAGATGAACAAGTAGCCTTAATCATTCAAGAGAAAATTATCCAGGCATTTCAAAACTTTGCATATTCAGAATTAGAACAAATTGGGAGGAATCCTGCACTTGCTGATATTCCAATCACGGTAAGTTAAAGACATTATGATGGCTTGGTATTGTGAACAAAGTTTTGTGGAAGATTTCCAACACTGTTGCAGGCTCTCGATATTCCCTATTTCTGGTTTTGTTGCCATGTGATTGCCAAAAATCTCTCATTCACTTTTTTACTTCTCATTCCCCTTTGGTTAAAGTGAATGCCAGTAAGAAGACTGAACTTCAAAAGGAACCCTCTGATGGTTTATCAATTAGAAACACTTCTGTTCAAGATAAAACCACCTCTTCTTTCCCTTTCTATATGGGTGTCTATAGTATAACATAATAAAAAATAAAAGATTCTCTCATTTCCTTTTATGTTTTTAAGATTGGAAAAAAAACATTTAATTACTTTTTTACTATGTATATATTTTTTATATTTTGTAGATCATGGAACCACCTGTCTATGGAGAGAAGAATCCAAGTTTTACTAATTTCATGGCCCCTGGAATTGTTCTTAGGTGCACTTCATTAATATTTTATTCTTAATGCAATTTTTCATTGGACTTGTCTCATTTTATTTTCACCAAACTTTTGTTTTGGTCTTTCTCTTTTTTTTTTTTGCATTTATTTTCTCTAACAATAAAAAATGACTAATATAGCTTTGGAAAAGTATTTTTTGACAGTGTGAAATCAATCAAATATTGACCTTTTTCTTTTGTAGTATAACATTTTTCATGGCAACTGGTTTGACTACACTTGCCTTTGTACTTGAACGAAAGGAAGGGCTTCTTGAGCGAGGCTTTGTGGCAGGTGAATATTCTTTCTATGACTCTTTTTGATGAATATTAATTATATATAAAAATGAATGCGTGTGTTTGTGCACATTTGAATAATGTTCCTTTTCCTTTGCAAGACTAATCGAAGCTTAATGTTGCAGTGAGTTTGCTCCTCAATGAGTCAATCACAATCACAAGCCTCATAGCTCATTGGAGCCATAAGGGTAATAAATGTACTACAGTCGCAGTAGAAGTGGTGTGACTTGGGCAAGATAGCCTGATGGAGACCAACCCTTTTCAGACTGGTTTTGAATTCAGTTTTCTTTCTCCTAGACTAGTTGCCACCCAAGGCTGTAGAACCCAATCTGTCCTGCTATTTAACCATAGCTGGTGAGAGAAGAGATGGATTCATACCTTTCTTAAGATTATTAGCACATAAGGGAATGTAATGAACTTGACTAAGATTTGAATTTGGTTCTTTGATCCCTTAATCCAATCCACAATCCATTACTCCACCATGACTCAATGAGTACCTCACAACAATAGCATAGAAAAGACATGGACAAAATCCTAATTTCAGATCATTTTTAGGAGCATTGAGGATATAAATGAATTTTATATATCATGAATCAGTTTTTTACTCACTTAATTTCCTTATCTTACAGTCATAGAGATCTGTTTGAACTGCTGGAAAATCTGTCACCAAATTTATTTAACCTATACATCAAGGTGAACCTAAAAGGACTAGAAGTTCTACCAGGATTTATTATTGGGGAAAACACAATCTTAACAATATATTTTCACAAAATACATCTATTCAATGAAAAGGAGGGAGTTATCAGTGATATGATATTCCTGGGTTGTTTAAGAATTTTGGGTTTCTCAACTTGGTATTATTATTCCCTACCAAGTGACCCAATCAGGGCTAATTGGACCCTGAGCCCCCCCCCACTCCAAGCAACAGACTTTTACAAACATTGCCTCCATTTTCAAGTTAGTAAATTTTGACCATTAGGTGGTACTATATTTTTATATGTTTTGGTCACATTAACCCCAGCCAAGTTCTGCTTGACCACTATCTTTATATGAGTTTTCTATGCTCTTGCCCAAGTTTGGACTCAATTTCATTACCAGGATAACAATAGTATATGCATTATTATTTTTCTTCATTTGATGATGTGCATGCGTTTGTTTTCATCTGTGTTGTGTGTGTGTGTGTTTTTTTTTGTGTGTTTATATGATGCCTTCCAAAAGTCAAGCAAAGTATTAAGAAACAGGAAAATCTTGTTAGAAACAAAGAAAAGAGTACTGGACTGTTATATAATATCTTTCCTCCTATATGACAATAAATGCTGGACAATCTCCTCACAAATTAAAAAGAGACTTGAAGCAACAGAAATGTGGTTCTACAGAAGGATGCTGAGAATACTATGAACAGAACATGTGAGCAAAGCTGAAGTTTTATAGAAAATGGAAACAAAAAGGAAACTTATACTTAAAATCAGTAAGAGATAGCTAAAATTTCTAGGGCACATAATGAAATCAGAGGACTTGGGAAATTTGACACTCACAGGACAGACTGAAGGCAAAAGGGACAGAGGAAATCAATACATAACCTAAGTAGTGAATTTGAGTAAATGGATGGTGGAACAAGGTTTAGGAGAGATAGGAAAAAAACAAAATTTACTGAGAACTACAAAGGATGGGAAATTGTGGAAAGCCATGATCACCAATGTTCTGAAGGGTCATGTTACATAGTAGAAAAACGAGAAATGTGTGTTAGTGCACCTGTGGGCTGCTGTCTAATTTAATTGTGCATTGCACAATGACAAGATAAATAAATAAAAAATTAAAATATACAGATGACATCATGTAAATGACAGACAGGAAAAGTAAACTGCAGGACTTCTTAGACAAAGTAATAAGGGAAAGTGAAAAGAAAGGACTGTTAATTGTAAGAAGACAAAATGTATGGTCATTAACAAAAGGGATACCCCAATATGCAATTTACAAAATAGAGACATGAAAATCAAGTAAGTACAGAAATTTAAGTATCTGGGAAGTGATATAATAGCCAATGGAAATTTAACTATCTGGGAAGTGATTAGCCAATGGAAAACGTGATAAAGAAATTTAAAGGTACATTGGAATAGCAAAATATATTCTCCAAAAGTATTAAGAAACAAGAAAATTTTGTTAGAAACAAAGAGTACTGAATTGTAATGCAATATCATTTCTCTTATATGGCAGTGAATGTTGGACAATTTCCTTACATGTGAAAAGGAGACAAGGCAACAAAGCTGTTGATCTACAAAAGGATGGTGAGAATACCATAGATAGAACATATAAGCAACAAGGAAGTTTTAATGAAAATGGAAACAAAACAGACATACTTAGAATCAGAAAGAGATACTTGAAATTATTGAGACACTTAATGAGGAAAGAAGGCTTGGAGAATTTGGTGCTCACATGACATACTGAAGACAAGAAGGGCAGAGGGAAACAGTGGGTAACTCACCTAATGGGATTGTGTGTAGGGATGACAGAACAGGGACTGGGAGGAATAGTAAATGGACAAATATTAGTGCTGCAGAGGATAGGAAATGTCTTAATGTTGGTAAATCTAGATCACACTTGATTTTCTTCTATAAAAATAACAAAATACCTAAGGGTGGTCATCAACTCAGTGGAATGAAGAAAAATATCAGAACACTGGAAACTCAGATATCTGAAGTAATCAGTGTATAAACTAGGCTGTGACAGTAGGCCTAACAAAGAAATAAATACTACATGTGAGCCAGTAATAAATAAAGAGATATGACAGCAAAGCTTCTACAGTATCAGCAGAAGCAGCAGCATAAGTAAGAAAAGAGATTCCATAGTGAATACAGTCAAGCATGACAGCAGCAGCGGTATCAGCAGCAGGCAGGCAATAAGAACATTAGATTTGAGGCTCAAAATTCTAGATTCAGGATTGTACTATGGGACAGTAGCCTAGTGGATTGAAGCATTGGTCATGAATTTGGTGACATAGTGATTGTGCCTGGGCTGGGTATTGCAGACTTAAACTCACTGGAAATAGGCTGAGTAACAACCGAGTAGTACTAAATAAGAACAAAAACAGTTTGCTCCTGTAGATTGAATAAAAAGTTCAGTTTGAAATTTCCTGGTGATTATCCTGATCAATAAGCCCCTGAAGAAGGCTGGTGCGCATAACAGATGAAATGTACTGATAATAACAACAAAAATGGGGACAATAGTCAGAATGTAAATAATTTCAATAAGGATAAATCCACATCCAAGAAATTCAGACAGAAAATACCTAAGGATTTTGATTTCTGTGACTTTCAGGACTGACTGCCTTTGAAATAATGTTGGCTCATGTCATGACGCAAATGGTGGTTTTAACTGTCCAAGTTACCCTGATGCTGATTTTTGCTATTGTGGTTTTTAAGGTAACAATCTTTGACTTGTATTATTCTTCTTGAAACTTTTGAATTTAATAAATATTAAAATACCATCAATTTTAGGTATAAACTTTCTTTTTCATGTTTTATGCTGTAAATAGATGTAAACTTTTAAATTTATTTTAAACAAATGCATATAGAAATTTAATTCATTCTAATGACAGCAAATACTAAAAACGCATATAGAAATTCATTGGGAATTATTTTACTAAATGAATTCATTGCAAATTATTTACTAGCCATATTAGTCTATATTAATAAAATATTATTCAATGTGATTAAATTTTACTCACTGTGAATAAAACTTTGAATCCCAGTCAAAGTTTAAAATGAGCAGTTCTAAATTTTTGTAAGTACTGGCATTTTTGTAGTTGTCACATCATATCATGAGTCCTGTAGTCCACCAGGGTTTTAAGGGCACCACATGTACCGTAGAAGTGGTGTGTCTAGGGTTAGATAGCCAGATAGAGCCCATTGTTCTTAAGGCTAGAATTCAAAGTTTTCCTTCTAATAGATTGGTTACAACTTCAGCCTTGCTATTTAACACATAGCTGGGGGAGAAAAGATGGATTCAAGAGTATTTGTGTGAATATGAACATAACAAATTTAGACAGAATTTGAACTTGGCTTGCTAATCTCTCTTGCTTATTTCACAATCTACACATACACATTTTTTATAGAAGGTTCATTCACATTATTTATATATATATATATATATAATTTTAAAAGTTACTCCAAAATTCGCTTGAAGATGAAATAGAACTAATGCTTTTAATTTATTTGCAAAAAATAAAATTAGGGTTTTAGCTTCTATTTTTGAAACATGGTTTGGAACTGTGTAGCGAAAATAACCATATTTTAAATCAATTAATTTATAATATATATATATATATATATATAGTAGATAGACTCTCTCATTGCAGATGACATATGAGGGCTCAGTAAAATAAAGGGGTGCTCACCTTCTATGGACATGCATGTATCTCCCGACGTCTGCAGGTGTTTTGCAAACTTTTAGACTGATAGAACATGTAGTTGAACCATTTTGCTTGAGTAGTTGAGGATCAATTGTCACATATTTCTGTGAGGGGACAGCAAAGTCTGCTTTACTGTGTGTGACAAAGCCACAGTTGCAGTTAAGGCTATCATTGAGAGGAGCAGCATGCTGCTAACTTTCTTTAATATTTACTTGCAGTTGATCCCGATGTTCTAGTCGGCCTTGCTCAAACCTTTGTATAGATGAAAAGCAGGACAGGCATCAGCACTTTTGCTCTGACGCTTTGTTTTCCCAGGAAGAAATAGGGGATGCTGCATCACTTCAGACTGAATTTGTCTTTGAGACACAAGAGTGATTTTAAAACTGACCTGCTTCTTAGAAGCTGGCCAAAGAGGAGTTGTTTCACTCATACAAACAATGTCCTGCTGAGTGGAGTTGGATTTTCATTAGGATGGCTTCAATACCTTTTATATTGCATTTAGTCAGAACTTCACTGTTTCTAATGCAGTCACCCAGTATTCTATTGCAAATTGTGCATAGGAAATGCATGTGGAAGGCAGCATGTTGATTGCTGTGTCATTGGTGCAGTGTCCAAGATTCTGCAGCATAAAGTAATAGTAATATATATACTTCTCACACCACACTATGATAAAACAAGTTTTAAAATAGTGATCAAAATATATTTAATGATTAAAATTGATTACAATAAATATAATCTCGATTAAAATTGGATAAAATAAATAACTTAAAGCTCCTTTCATCTAAAGCTTTGTATGATGACCTTCTTTTTGCTTCCCTCTCTTCATGTCTTCTTTTAAAATCTTATTTAAAGAAACCATCCCTTCAGTAATTTAATTCTAATGATTTATTTACTTCTGATGAAGTATTGGACAAAAGGTGCCTTAAGTTATTTATTTTATCTTATTTCAATCAACATTATATTTATTGCAATCAATTTTAATCATTAAATTTTATATTATGATCCCTATTTTAAAACTTGTTATATATATATATGTATATATATATATATTAGTGAACTCTTTATTAAAAATCTTATAAGTAAATTTAATCACTGCACATAACAGACAGTTTAATGAAGCCATTGGAATTTTCTTAATTGTTACAGAATGCATAGGCTAGTCAAAGATGGCAAACCCTAATGTACTGGTCAGAACTCTGATAATCCAAACTGAGTAACTCTAATAATCCAAACTGAGTAACTCTGGAGTCTGTCTCTATTTCTGAGATGAGGTATTATGTACATTATTTACATTATTCGGACTATTGTCCTCATCTTTGTCGCCATATTTATCACAACGTTTCAGCCGTTGTACACTCCAGCCTTCTTCAAGGACACATGGCACTGTGGATAAAGGTGTTGGTTAGATCCAGTGACAGGACCCAAAGAGTGTGAGTTCAATACCTGGTTAAGGCAGTGGAGAACTTGGAGAGGGAAATTAGCAGGAGATAACTGATAACTGACATCCATCAAACATGGCATGTAGAACTAGAACAGTCTACCCCAGTGAGCGAAATAAAGGGTTCAGTTCGAAATTCCATCCACCTGAAGAAGGCCGGAGCGTACAACGACCGAAACGCTGTGATAAATATGGCGACAAAGATGAGGACAATAGTCTGAATAATGTAAATAATGAGTAACTCTGATAACCCAAACTGAGTAACTCTGATAATCTAAACTGAGTAACTCTGATAATCTAAACTGAATAACCCTGTGGGTTTTTGATTCTGACAGTGATGGATTGTTTTTGTTCAAGTTGATATAAGATTGAAAAATATGTAAAGACAGTCAGTATGGAGACTGCAATAGAAGATGACTTTCCACTTCTAATCCACCTTGATGTGTTGTGGCTTCAACAGATATAAGACAGGCTACCACATGATCATGGCAAGTTGCTTGGTGACCTCCTTCTTCCTCTTATTTCCTCCAAGAAATAATGCTGCTACTACTGTCCCCGAACCAGTGAAATAAAGTGAGGAAAAAAAAACTAAAGAAAATTGTTTAACATTTTTTCAATCTGTGATAAAGCATTGAGGCCTGAGGAATTGCCAATAGTCTATAAGAAGCCAGAGATGACACATAGTGTAACATAATAACATGTCCCTTTAGAAGATAGACAATCATGTCTCTTTCAGCCACCTTGTTTCTTGCATCTATCTTGTAAGGTCATAATTGTTTTAGAAAAAGACAGTGGAGTAGTTTCTTTTTGCTACCTCTGTGGTTTTTTAATTCAGTGTTGTTCTTCTTCTAGACTGGTTGTCAATCAAGGCTAGAGAGATCATTCTACTCTATTATTTTTTCCATAGCTGGGAAAGAAGTGATGGATCCACGTCTTTCCTCTTAGTGCAAATTGAAAACAAGCGGTTTCATCTGGAATTTGAATTTGGCTTGTCAATTCCATTTTTGGTACTGTTAACTGTTTGTCCAGCTATACATCCTTGTACCACTCCACAAAGTACATGACTCCTTCTGCCAGGCTCTATCTTTTCAAGAGTCAGATCAGACCAAAAATGGAATATTGCTGCCATATCTAGCCTGGAGCTGTACAATCCTCACTTTCCCACCTTGACAGAATTCAAAAACATTTATATAGCTTTGTGGGTGATGAATTATCTTTAGCCTTACAACTCTTTTCCAACAGACAGAACATTGCAAGCCTCTCACTGTTTCCATGGAAAATGTTCTGATATCTTCCTTAGTTCCACCAGTTCAGATTTTTACAGCTAGGACTCACCATGCCATGTACACAGGGTTGAATCATCCTCACTCCCTTTGTATTCCATTGGTAAGAAGTTTCATTTAGAAATTTTCCCAACAGCTGCTACTTTTTGAAATAGACTCTCAAGAGGATGCTTCCCTGATCATTACAATCCTAATCTCTTCAAGTCTAGGGTCAACTGTTATCTATCTTATGTATCAGTTATACCGGAACGTACCTATTCTATTGTAAATAGACTCTCCCACAGATAAGTAGTAGTAGTGGCAGTCACCAGTGGAGCTCAGTGAGTTGTGTGAGTCAGTCGATGTCAGACATTAAAGTATGAGCCCCACAACTAGATTGCTGCATCATTAACTATTATTGCAAGTTCCTAACGTTTTGTACGTCGAACATAATTTAGTACCGACTTAGTGAAATACAAGCCTCCACTGTGAAAACTACTCTACAACAGTATCCTAATAATCTGCACTTATTGTCTTCTGTTAATGTTTACAAAATAACATCATTCAGTCACTTTCTATCTTGAAGAGCTCTTGGTCCCTGTATTGGATAGACATTTAATAATAAAGAAAAATTCAATGGTTTGCTGTTTATGTAAAAACCATTTCACAAAGGGAAGTTGAGATTTTTTAATTCTTTTTTTACAATTTCAGGTTCCATATCGAGGACCCCTTGTTTGGGTTGTTATCTTGGTATTATTTCAAGGACTTTGTGGAATGAATTTAGGTAAATTCACAAATTCATATTTTCCTCTGTCCTTTAATAGTTGTTACATTTTTATAGGTATCTTCTATCAGGGACAGTGCAATGGTCTCATGCCTCCACTTGAATACATAATATTGGGCTTCCCACTCTACTATATCTTAATTTTCATACGGTAGTATTCATATAAAAAATACCTAATTTTATTGCAACCTAATTATCTATAATAATGGATCATATGCAATACAGGTGAACAATCCTACTCGAAAAATTGAAAATAAATATAATGTAACTAAATACAAATTAGAGACATATCATAATAGATCATTCCATCTTAAATAAACAATGTTTTGTGGCAATTTTTAACATCAACTTGAGAATTTTCATGTTAAAAAGTTGAATAGTTTTAACACATTCAATATTATGGATAAAAAAATAATAAATTTTATATATATGAAAAGTGTGTGTATATAAATATAAATATAAATGTTTTTTGAGACTTAGCATGAACAAAACAAATTTGTGGATTCAGGTGAAAAACAAACCCCCAATGACATCAAAATCTACAAATTTTTTTCATTCTTTAATATTCAGTTGTGCATAGTTTAATTTGTAACATATATATAAATGAAAGTAGAAAAAAGCAAATATTGATAAGACAGTGAGAATCACAAAGCACTAGGGTCAGGGGTGGGGATTGTGGGTAATACACACCAGCACTGTCTTTTATCCACTTGGCCATTTGAATGCAAAGTGGCTAAGATAGCCATGTTGTAAAGTAGGACTCTCATGTGTACATAGGACTAAAGACAAATATTACTGAAGCTCTTTCAGCATTTCTCACTTTGGGGGAATTCAGGTGTCAGGGATTAACCCTAACCCTCCTCCTGGAAGAGTAGTATTGTCTGGTAGCAATGGCCTCCACCCCTGGGGATTGAGCATATCATACTATATTTTAAACTTGATGAGATTCTGTCTGGACTAAATAAGTCTAATTGTTGTATTTGAATGCATTTTATGGTTAGCAATTAATAAATTATTATGTCCACATGGATAAAAACTATGCCATATTACTATTTTTAGATTTTCATATATGAGTCTTTAAATATATTTTTCTAATTATTATATGAATTGTATTTTTTCGTTCTCAGTTTCATAAATATTTTGGAAACAATCTAGTATTATTGTAACAAAGACACTGTTATAGACAAGTGTATGGTTGCAAGAAAAAATACGACAACAGCAGAAATAGATTTACGTGATTTATTTCAATAGGAACGTGTGGGTTTGGGACAGCTTCCTTGTGGTATAGTTCATAGGCCGGCTGGAGATATGGGCTGATCTCTCATAGTAGTTTTCACAGGTTGGGTAGCGCTCCTCCTGCTGGCTGCTGCTGACCGCTCGGCCTGACTGTGACAGGTCTCTTCCCTGGCCACCTGTTGACTGCCTGTTGTACTTCTCTGTGACCCCTTTTATGGCATTTTTTTATTGCTTAACAGGCTTGAAAAACGAAGCGAGTATAATTAGGAGGGAAACATTTTTATTGGACAAAAAATAGAACACTTTAAATATTTTATTTTTCGACCAGAACTCGTGCATCGGGGACATTTGTAAACGAAGATAATAGTCATTTTGTGACGGGGCTTTGTCCTGTTCACATCCGGCTCTCAATCTTGAGTATGTTAGTTTATTTGCCTGTAAATCAGCCGAGATATGTCTTATTTTATTTTATAACAACACTGTCACCTGGCATCACCAGTACAAAAAAGATAACTCTAGTATGGCAAAATGTTACAGACAAAAACCTATCCTTGGCATATTATATATATTATTGCTACAAACATTATTTTTAGTGGGTACACTTGTTTGAGTTGCTATCTCTGTTTTTATTTTCTTAAACAGTGAAATTAATAACAATCAGCCTAGATCGAGAAGTCTTACTAAGCCAGTAGTTACCAAAAACAATATTCTAGGCATTAGCACTTGGCAGAGTTTTTTGATCTTCATGGCCATTGCATGTCGACATCAGCAAGATGGAAGGTAACGAGATTTAAGGGTATTTTGCCCAATAACTGTTGTGATACTTGCTGAAATTTCAGTTGTTAAGTTTCTGAAGTTGAGGTAACTTCTTTGTCCCTGCTGAAAACCAATTTCACAACAGAAACCAACAAACTGTTGATAACTAACAATTAGTTTAAGGAAAACAAATTGAAGAATTTAAAAGTACATAAGGAGTAAATAATTATTAATTCATGTGGCCTGGTTGATGATCTTTTCTGTAAAATTATTCACCTTCATCCTGGCACTGTATTCTTGTCTCTCTGGGATTGTGTCTGTGGGTTCTTTAGTGGCTGAAGCAGCAGCAGTGTTGCATTAACCCCTGGTGTGGGTGGTCTCATCTTGTCTTCTCTACGATCACTAATTGTTTTGGTTCAGCAATGAAAGACTTCAGACACAAAGAATTTTAATTTAACTATTTGTATTATTCATGTCAACATGTACACTATGTAACTATCCAGTGGGGGTTACCCCCTACCTCAATAGGGTGCCGTTTTGGGCACAAAAGAGAACACATCTACATCGCTTGATGGGTAAGACCCAACTTGCTGAAACCTTCCTCCTATCTATCTTTCCCATGCTAGCTCAGCCAATCAAAATTGACTTCCCTATTATGGCTTACATCTGATCCTGAATGTCAACCTCTGGAAGTCAGAGCCAGGATACACTTCCTCTTGTTATAAAATAAAATAAGACATATCTTGGCTGATTTACAGGCAAATACTCAAGAGCAAGAGCCGGATGTGAACGGGACAAAACCCATCACAAAATGACCATTATCTTCATTTACAAATGTTCCGGACACATGTGTTCCGGTCGAAAAATAAAATAATATTTAGAGTATTCTATTTTTTGTCCAATAAAAATGCTTCCCTCCTAATTATATTCGCTTCATTTTTCGAGCCTGTTAAGCCATAAAAAAATGCTATAAAAGGGGTCAAACGGAAGTTCAACAGGCAGTCAACAGGTGGCCAGGGAAGAGACCTGTCACGGTCAGGCCGAGTGATCAGCAGCAGGGGAGCATCAACCACAGTCAACATGTGTGAACTACTATGAGAGATCGACCTAGATCCGAAGCCGGCTTATGAACTTTACCACAAGGTAGCTGTCCCAAACCCTCACGTTCCTGTTGAAATAAACCACATAAATCTATTTCTGCTGTTGTCGTATTTCTTTCTTGCAACCATACGCTTGTCTATAACACTCTAAAAATAATAGTCTTCTAAACTATTATTTAACAGCAGGAGGAAGATTGGGTTATAAGAATCTTATCATCTTGTCGTCTCTCTGTCTGGTTCCATTTGTCTGGCTGTCTTTCACCCATCTTGTTTATATAAGGAAATTTGTACACCCCTGGCATTTATTTATTGCATCTTTTTTTTTTCATAAGATATTCATGTCTTTTCTTTGTTTAGTAATAGATGGCCCTTTTTGAATGCAGTCAGGCCAAACCCTTGATTTGTATTTTGGCAACAATATGAGTACCTGAGGAGTGATAGTGTTTTGTATAAACATAGCAAGAGTTCTTCCTTGGAATTTAGGAAAAAATTTCAGAAGGCCATGAGACTTTGTCATATTGCTCTGAAGGCATATTTCCCTGTAGGTAGTGGAAGATTCAGTCATACTAAATCTTAATGAATTCTACTTGGTTTATTTTAGATATAACAGGAGAGAACTATCTTCTATTTATATTTTCCCCATTATGGGCATTATTATATCCATAATAACACTGTATTTCACAGATGGAATGGAATGGCTGAAGGAAAAGGAATGACAAATGTACTTTGTTCTCAGAGAACCACTAAGACATACACAAAACTATATATACATATTTACATGTGTCCCATGCAGAGAAAAAATATCACATATATCTATACAGCAAACAAAGTGTAAGGAGAATGAAAAGAATTGTCTTACATATAATATGGAGATTTTTCTGTGTTTCTGGAGAAGCCATATTTAGGACTCCAGATTCAAATGGGCTCTGATTCATCTACTATGTCCTAGGTGAATAAATATTCCATGATCTGGAAATGGTGAGTCTTGGGTTTCCCCAAATTGAGGACTGCAAGCTGGAGTTTCTTTCTATATCTGGGAATGATATATTCCCAAAGGGAAATGGTACCATGGGCTTGTAAGCTGCTAGGGGTGGCTGATTTAGCTTCAGCCCAGCTAGTGGGGAATGTAGGATTTTTTTTTCTTTGTTTGGCAAGTGTAAGCCGACTGAATGACTGGCCAATCTTGTCACTATAAAGTGATGTCACTAAAGTGGCTGTCACATGACCCATATGATATATCTCCACCATAGGGACATAATCATGTTCTGTATCCCTAGATAAGTTTGGATCTTCCTGGAGCCTTCTTGGAACTCATTTCATGGCCTCTAATTATAATTTTTATTCATTCTTTATTTCCTGATTCTCCTTGACACTTAATTGTTTTTTTTATTGTTTAATCTGAATTATTTCCTGCTTCAAATTGTCATTAGGCATTCTCATGCAGTAAAATATTGAACCAATGTTGGCATCCTGTGTATTCAACCATATAGTAATGTTACCACCTTGTTAAATTCAATCGTACAATAAAATGTTGAACCAGTGTTGCCACCTTGTTGAATTCAATTATGTAGTGAAATATTGAACGAGGGTTTCCACCATCAGTCATTCAGTAAAATACTGAACAAGGGTTACCACTCTGTTATATCCAATAATGTAGTAAAACAGTGAATAGCATTTACTATCCTGTTAAATTCCATCATGCAGTAAAATATTGAACTAGAGTTGCTGCCCTGGTATGTCAAATCATGCAGTAAAACATTGAAACAGATTTGCATATTGTTTTATAACTGTTAAAGTAGAACACACCTATTCTATAGTTAATAGACTCTCCCACCTATAATAAGTAGGAGTAGTAGGAGTCACTCAGTGGAGTTGGTCAGTCAGTCGATGCCAGACGACCGTTAGTTGGATACTAAAGTATCAGCGATCACGACTAGATTTCTCTGCGTCATACCTATTATATGAAGTTCCTAACATTTTGTACGTCGAACCTATTTTAGGACCGACTTAGTACAAATACAAGCCTTCACTGTGAAATCACTCCATAACAATAACGAATCATGAATTTAAATTTTGAACCAGAGTTATTATCCTGTTATAGTCTACTAACTTTTATTGCACTTTCCAGCATTGATAGGACCTTCCTTTTATTTTCATTGTCTATATTTTCCAGGAATTCTTTTTTCTGCTGTCTGTGATCAAGAGACTTCAGCTATTCAACTGGCTTTGGCTTCTGTCTATCCAAATTTATTACTAAGTGGTAAGTTTATTTGTTCTTTGGGGTAGATTAATTTTAACTTAATTTTCCTTTCATTTTTTTTTCTTTCTTTGGCAGCAGAGTATAACTAAAAGGAAAAGTGCTGCCAAATAAATTGACAAAATGTACATGGATTATATAGACATGGATAAAATTTTAAGTCATGTGAAATTACAATGAATTTTAAAAAATATCTTGAATTATCACTCACTTAGAAACTGCTCACTAAAACATGTCAAACTACAAGGCAGAAAAACAAACGTCTGAAAATATATAAAAATAATGGCATGGTATCATCATTTTACAGTTGAAATAGCTAAGTATAACCGTAAAAGTTTTATGCTAACAATTTCTTCCTTCACACTTCTTGCTTGTGGAACTCTCTTTTGTCTTCTTGCTTTTCAGTCAACTTTGATCTTAAAAAAATTAAAAGCAATGTCAATTCTTATCTTTTGTTTTCTTAATTCCTGTTCTTTTATTGCTTTCTCTCTTTAATAATGTTTTATTTTTCTCATATTTTCTCACACTCATTAACCCCTTGTATTTATTGCCTTGCTTGGAGTGATATGATTAAGAAAAGAATATAATGGCAGGCTTCTTTTAGCCATAATGCAATATAATATAGATAGAAGATAGAATAGTGACAGAATGTTTATATTAATGAAAAAAAATAACCTGCCTTGGCTACTATGATCTCACACTTAATCAACCTTTGTTGAATGTAGGTCTTCTCCAAATTTTTCTCTTTACTGTTCATACTATGGGCTATTACTTTATCACACCGAACCAATGCATGTTGGTAGGGGATTACAGTTTCTGGTATTTCCAAGTGGTTATTTATCTAGGTAATGACTAGGCTCAATGTTGCTTAAATGTAGTGATATGACTTTGATGAAAGTTCCAGGTCACAGTGCCCTAAGCAGGCTATTTTTCTTTTTTCATTAATATTTATATTCAGTCAGTTATAATGTAAAGAATGGGTAGTCAAGGGGTATCCTAAATGGGTGGATACTTTTAGGATTATATGTGAAATTCCTAAATCTTCTAATTCTTACCCTGTTAATCCTTGATATTTTTTTTAAAAATCATTTCTCTCCCAAGTAAGGTGATAAAGCTACTAAGACACAAGGGGGTTACTGAAAGTGAAAGAATCTGAGAAAAATACTTATTAAGGAGTGAGGACAATAAAAGAACAGCTTTCAAGGTGACAAAAGATGACAATTGGCATTGCATTTAAATTTTTTAAGATCAAAATTGACTGGTGATCAAGAGGCTAGAAGAGTCCCACAAGTGAGAGAAGAAACTGTTAGCATAAAATTTATGGTTACATCTAGCAATTTCAACTACAAAATGGTGAGACCTAACTGCAATCTAGTACTGCACTTGAATTCATAAAGTTGAGGTACCAAAGAAGAAAGCTCATCAGAACAGAAATTTTTCTTTTAATCATAGTCCACATCTGTTTGACATTTTCAGATGTTCTGCTTGTTGAAGGTGCTCAAGATTGTGGACTTTTTTTAATGGAAGATTCAAGAATTATTACCAAAATTTTATCTAGACTTCACTCATTGAATCAATCCTCAAAAGTAATTTATTTGAACAGATCCCATGTGCATGTATTAAATAGCTTCCTCTTATTTCTTTCTCAACCAGTGATCATCATCTTAGTAGTAGGACTAGAAAAATTCAAAGGTGAATTAACTAGATTTTAATCTGAAAAGTTTACTTAATAATATTTGATCTGTTATTAATATTCAAGTGGGTAAATTTTTGTTGTAGCTGTGTGTTCAGATCAACATTGGGAGGTTATGATTGGGAATGGAAATGATTTATTAGGTGTAAAACGATTAGGTAGAATATTTTAACCTTCTCAAAAGAAATGAATTGAAGATATCCATTGATTTTAATATATATATATAATCGACTCTCCCATCGAGATTCGACGTATGAGGGTCAAGCAGATCAGTTTCCAGGAAACCGACAGCCCGACACCGGCACATGAGATTTGATTATTGTGGTGAAGGCTTCGTGCAGGACCACCATCCACACTTTTTGAAGGGACGAATACAGAGACCTGGTGCACCGAATGTCACAAGGTTCCCAAACGACCCTCCGCAGGTTTTGAATTCAGAGTTGTCCTTCTCCTAGACCAGTTGCCATCCAAGGCTATAGAACCCAGTCTGTCCTGCTATTTTACCCATAGCTGGAGGGAGAGGAAGAGGAAGAGGATTCATACCTTTCCCAAGGGTATTAGCACGTAAGTGAATGTAATGGATTCGACTGGAATTCGAACTCGGCTCTGCGATTCCTCAATCCAAGCCGCTATCCATTACTCCACCGATGATATATATATATATATATATATATATATATATATTTCTGCGATTAGGTATTGTAACTATTTACACTATTTGCATTGTTTGGATTGTTGTCCTTATCTTTATTGTCATATTGACATGGCCCAGTGGATAAATTTAGATGGTTGAAGTAATCCAGTGTCTTGACTCAAATAGTTGTGAGTTCAATACCTAGCCACACCAGAGGTGAAGAAAAAAATTTGCAGAGTTGAGTTACTAAAGGGAAATAACTGAAACTGAGATATCCAGAAAAGGCATGGCACGGGGAACTAGAGCAATCTACCCCAGTGGACAAAATAAAGGATTTTAATCAAAATTCCAATGTATATCACCTGATGAAGGCCGGCATGTACCTTCTACTGTGAGTGACAAAGTAGGCTGACAATGTTTTTCTTTGAAAAACTTTTGATGGCATGAGTTTCTAGTAGTATTGTCTTGTTTGTTGAACTGGGATATTTTCTCATGTTCAATACAGATATTCATGTGATTGAGGAAATATTGTAATGGGTTGAGGCCAACAGACAACAGGATGAAATTCTTTTCAGTGGCTGGTGCAGTCCAGTTGCCTGCCTGTCACTATCTGTCTTAACACATTTTTAAAGACAATAGTATTCATTCCTGAATTGTTCTTGATTTTGATTGTTTCCAGAAATGACTCATTTGACAATCCTTTTTTCTTCATTTAGGAATGATAACCTTTTTGGCCTCTTATTTATTTCTTTATTTTTTCTTATGTTTTTGTTTTTATTTCTTTATGGCAAACCAAAATGCTTTGCCAACTTTTAGCTTTCTTTTTTTTTCATTTTTGAAATAGTGATTTTTCTTTTTCTATCACTACAACACCAGGTACTTTGGTTGAGATTAAAAAGTTGGTTTGCCTGGAGACCAAGAAGTCTCTCTGGAGGGGAAAAAGAATCCTCTAAGTCTCTCTAGTTGAGGAATGAAAGAGGAAGTGATATAAAGAGTTTAAGTTCTCTTTTATACTGCTTTTTACAACACCACCTAATGAGTGTTAATAGAAGTCTACTGGCAGACAAGGTGGGTGGGGTAACTCCACAAGTTCATTCACAAGGAATGAATTTAGTGATATGCTGATTTAAATATTAGAGTGACATCTATAAACACATTAACTTAAGTGCTGTACCAACATTGCTCATTGCTAAGCATATAGTCACCCATCCATAGGATGGAAAATTGCTGAATGAAGCTTTCTGGAAATGTGTCCCTAGCCAAATGCCAATGACAACAGTAAACAATGGAAAATCATAAGTTCAATGACATGTGTAAGTGGGTAAGGAAAAGTAAATGGGGTAATATGAATGCAAGTAAAGACAATATAATCTCCATAGTTATATCTTTAAGTTCGCAACCTAATGATGATAAAAGCATTTATTTTGAACAACAGATATTAATTTTTTAACATAATTTTCTTCCTTGTTAATGCACTTAATTTTGTGTTGAACATGAAGATACTTCAATAGGTTAACAACCTAATGATGAAAAAATAAAAAAAGCATTAATTTTGCATTATAAATATTTATTTTTCAACATTATTTTCTTCCTTGTTAATGCACTTAATTCTGTGTTGAACATGAAGATACACTAATAAGTTAACAACCTAATGATGAAAAGTAAAAATTGATAATGCAAAATTAATGCTTTTTTATTTTTCAACATAATTTTCTTCCTTGTTAATGCACTTAATTCTGTGTTGAACATGGAAGTACCTCAATAAATCCACTACAAAAACATGCTAGATTATAAATATTCGTTTTTCAACAAAATCTCCTTCCTTGTTAATGCACTTAATTCTGTGTTGAACTTGAAGGCACAACAAGTTGGCAGCCCAATGATAAAAAATCATCCATGTTACATAAGTATTTATATTTCAACATAATCTCTTTTTTTTTTATTTTGCATAATCATGAATATTAATCCTATCAACTGAATATTATGCAGTGAAAATTTCAGATCAGACCTCAGTTAATAACTCCATGTCAAGCTATGGACATAAAGATCTATCCTTGGAAATATGTTAACTTTTGGGTTCACTTTATTCCAACAGAGGTTTTTTTTGTTTTTTTTGCTCCTGAACTGTCATAAATTTAAATATAATAAGTTTTGGTGTTTCCTTGCAGTTCTTAATAACAGAATATCTTTAAATTAATCATAACTTTCCACAATTTTATGCTAAATCTCCTTTTAACTAATTTTTTGTCTTTAATCAACAGAATCATGTTTCAGAGCTTATTAACTTAGAAATTCAAGTAAATTTGTCTTATTTTTCTTAGGAATCATCTGGCCTTTGGAAGCAATTCCTACAAGTCTTCAATATATTAGCAAAATTCTTCCAATGACCTATGCTACAGAAGCCATGAGGTGCATTATGAGTAGAGGTGAGTTCTGAACATCATTATTATTGTAATGAGCATCTTCTTCTATGTGTTATGTCTGGTCAGGATGGGGGCGATCACGACACTCCACAACTATCCTTCGTAGCTCTTAGTAATGTTTCTGTTTTTACTATCCCTCCCTCCTCTTGTTCTGCCATTAATTTAAACAAACCTATTAGGTAGGTTACTCATTGATTTCCTCTGTCACTGCAATTTGTCCCATGAGCATCAAATTTTTCAGACAATCTTTTCTTCTGTGTTCCAGAAGTTTCTCTGGCTATTGAATCAAATAGCAAGGCAGACTGAGCTCTCTAGCTTTGATTGGCAACCAGTCTAGGAGAAGAACAATCCTGAATTCAAAACTAATCGTATGTGGGGAATTTGAGCAGTATACACTTATTATTCATTTATTTTATTCAATTAATACATTCTCCAGTGCTGTGCTACTGAGGTCACCACTCACTTCTATGTCACAGTTGTGGTTCATGGTGACATTCAGGGCAGAATATTGCAATGGTTTGCTGGTCCCTTTTGCACAGGGGGATGTTGAGGTTATTTCATCCCTCTTCTTAGATATGGATTTGTTTTTGAAGTTACTTTCTTCTAGGCTTTGCCTAAAGAGGCAGCACCTACAAGGCAGCAGGTGATTTGAATTGAGTTTCCTTCTCCTAGACTGGTTCCCAACCAAGGCTATAGCCCAATCTGTCTTGCTGTTTATCTGTAGCAGGACAGATTGGGCTCTGTAGGAGAAGAAAGAGATGCATAATTTTCCCCAAGAGTATTAGCATGTAAATGAATGTGATGAACTCAACTGGAATTCAAACTCAGCTCTCCGATTCTTCAATCTTCACTGCTATCCATTATTTCATCATACCTCCCTATTTGAACAAGATCTTTGAAGACCAAAGTGGAGTGGAAAAGGGTCCTGTTCCATTGGCACTTGAGCATGGATCAATTAAGACAGGTGAAAGTCAAGAAAGTATACAAAGTAAAAAATTTCATTTGAAATTATGTGAAGAATAAGAAGAATTGAATCTGAATGCCAAAGTAGGCACTGAGAGAATGACTGTTAATATAGATCTGCACCTGAATATACCCTATCTCCGTTTTTTTGCCACTTGATCTCCAAAATCCCCTCAACCATCCCTTTACTTCTGTGTCAAAGTAAATGCTTCTTAGAAGATCGAATTTCAAAAGGAATTATCTGTTGTCCATCAAACAGAGGCATTTGAAACTGAGATAAAATCACTTCTTCCCTTTCTGCATGGGTGTCCATAGTATCACAAGTATCCTTCTGTAGAACCTAAGTTTGTTGTTTGAAGTTGAGAAAGTGCTGTGTGACACACAAAAACTAAAATGTTGAATTGGTTGAGGAAATGGACAAACAAGAGAGTGAAACAAAACGAAATAGGAATGTCTATTCTATTGGGAACATTTACGTGTAGAGAAATTTTGAGGATAATTCCTGAAAAGAAATGCAAACTTAAGGAATGTTCTTAAGAGTTTCTCTATAAAAAGAATGAAGAAAAGTTTTTCTGTGGGTGAATTAGAAAATGAGTCACATGTCTATGCCATGTGCCACTACTACACAGAGCGCTAATTTTAGCATCTTATCCCGATCTTAGTCCAAAGTAAAAGAAAGCCTCTTCAGACTCACAGCATGCATACTCCCCAGTTTCTTACGCATGTCTAAAAGCTGAAAATGGGTTACAGCACTGATAGAACTATCAAGACATACGTGTCAAACAAAAAGTAACCCTGATGTAATCCTTCCTCCCTGGATTGATGACAAATATAGTCATCAATGTGTTAATACCTAAGTAGGTAAGAAATGATACTTTTCAATCAGATTTTGTGTATGTATATTTGGTGTGATTGTTTGCAACAATCTAGCTGTTTGTTGTGAGTCATTTTTTTTGTAGTGTCAAGGTTGGTCTAATTGGTGTTCCTTCCCTTGTCCATATGGCTGTCATTGTTTCTTTCAGCTTTCTATCAATGTCTCTTTTATTCAAATCATACAATCTCATTCAGTATTACAGTTTTCAGCCTGTCAATAGCAACTGTGTCATTTTTAACATTTTTCTACACAGTAAAATGTTTGTCGGCCCTCTTTATTACTTTATATGAACCCTGGTATGTAGGTTGCAATAGCTTCCTGACAGTGTTATTACATACAACATATATTCAAAGTCAAAGAGATTTTTAGGGATGTACCATTGTCTGTTTATCAGAATAAACTGTACAACATATATTCAAAGTCAAAGAGATTTTTAGGGATGTACCATTGTCTGTTTGTCAGAATAAACTGTACAACATATATTCAAAGTCAAAGAGATTTTTAGGGATGTACCATTGTCTGTTTATCAGAATAAACTATATTTTGAACATCTCATGTATTAAATCATGTACAAAAGAATCTGTAGGATGTATGACAGTTGCGTTAAGTAGGGAGACAAATTCCTGTGAAATTGAACTGGGTTTGTTTTCCTCTCACTTTGCCCTTCATCCTGTTATCTGAGAGTGTGTGGTTATGCCCACATAAAGACAAATTAAAGTGTGTTGGAAAATCAGCTCCTAGTATAGGGGCATCCTCACATTTGCCTGCAAAATAGTCCAAGTGAAATCTCTGCACAGTCTGAGGTTTAGGGTGTATTCTTATTTACAATATGTCTAGATTTTTTAATCATTTGCTCACTACAGTTGAAATGTTAAAGGGCTTAATTTATGTCCAGGCATGGGTAGAATAACACTCATTTCTACCCAGTGCCAGCAAGCAATATGTAACCACTGTTTTTATACTTTATATAGAACAAGCAACATTTTGAACTTGTTCCAGATGCAGTCATTGCCATTACTGGTGGGAACAGATTTCCCTGGGTGTTTGGGTCATTGAAGTTATATGGGGTAGTACATTTTTTGACGCCTTTACCAAATGTGAAATGGTTCAGAACACATCATTCTGCAGTTGTCTATTTCAGGATTTCTCTCTACTCAATATCCTGTGGTGGGCGTTTCTAAACTGGGAATGACTCCTGGTTTGACTGTTTTGAAGTGACTGTAATGGTTTTTTTTTCAATCATTTCAGCCATCATTTGAGGAATTTTGTCACTTTTGGGTTCTTCTGTGGTAGTAAGTGTGCTTGTTATTTGACTATGTTCCTTGTATGTTCTGTTCGCAGAATCTACAAGCTTATCTTCTGGCATGACATCTGCCATTGGCGCTAGAATTTTTGCTGCCATAGTAAGGAGTTTATCTAATCACAATCATCACACTATTTTCTCAGATTTTGAATTTTGTCCTAGATGGCTCTTTATATATCTTGGTATCTATTCTGATGTCAAAACCATTTACTTCTGTTTCAATACTAAGTCTGATTAGTTCAATAAGGAAAAATTGGCTGCTGATCTCACAAACGACCTACAGTCTGTTGTTAACTGGGACAAAGAATGGCTTGTTAATTTTAAAGCTTCTAGACTAAACTGCTCTCTATTAATCCTGTGAGAGACCCCTTTCTGCCTACTATCATCATGGCTGATGCTAACCTCCAAGAGAGTGATTCGTTTTGCCTTCCCAGTTTAACATTCTTGGCTTGACGTGAAGTGAAATGATTACATTGAATCCATTGCTAGGTCAGCTGCTAAGAAAGTTGGTTTCGTGCTAGATAATTTTTCTCTCCAGAATCTGTCTTATATATCTATAAGTCTACCATTCGCCCCTACTTAGAATATTGTTGAGATATTTGGTCTGGTGCCCATGCTATTTATTTAGAAATTCTTTATAAAATCCAAAGTAGAACAAGCAATATTATTGAGCCTGACCTGTTTCAGCCATTTCCCACCACTGTAAAGTTGCCACCCTTTCCTATAAATACTCTCATAGTAATTGTTCAGATGAGCTCTTCACTTTTATTTCTTCCCTCACTTTTTCTTTAGATTAATTACCCTTCCCTCCCTCATTTAGGTGAGCAGAACATCAGTTCTGTGGTGGATGCGGGGGCGCTGTTCATTTCAGGTGTGGTTTTCATATTTGTTGTTGTGTTTGAATGAGTGTGTGTTTGAGTGAGTGCTTGGGATGAATAAAATGTTTTTTATTATTAATCTTCTGCATTGATTTTGTCCAGTTAACTGATGTTTCTGCCACATTTAAGGATTGTCAGGGGATTTTATTACTAATATTATTTTGTTTAGTTTCTTGTAAATAGTTTTGTTCATTTTTTGTAAATATTCATTGGGGTTGGATTTTTTAAATTGTTGTTTTATTCCCCTCCTCCCACAGACAATGAATTGTACATATGGGGTTTAGTTAGGACTTTCATAGAGACATTGTGGTATTATGGTGGATGTAGTATGAAAGGTAAGTAAGAATATGTTGTTTTGGTGTAAGGAGTATTGTGGTATGTTTGGGTCAGTGTTTGTGGTTAGCTAAGTTTAATGTTAAGAAGATCATTTTTTATCACTGATTCGCCATTTTGGTCTTGTATCATAATACAAATAAATTATCGCTCTTTGCTATGGTACCTAAACTTTATGAATTTAAGCACAGTACTAGATTGGCAGTTAGGTCTCATCATTTTACAGTTGAATTGGCTAGATGTAACCATAAGTTCTATGCTAACAGTTTCTTTTCTCACAATCCTTCCTTGTGGAAATTTCTTCTGGCTCTATACTTTCCAGGCAACTTTGATCTTTAAAAAGTTAAGTGTAATGTCAATCATTATCTACTGTCTTCCTGATTACTCTTCTGTTGTTCTCGTTCCTTAATAATGTTTCTGTGTTCTAATTCTTTCACACTCAGTAACCCCTAGTGTCTTTGTGGCTTTACTTCCTTGTTTGGAGTGAATTCAATTAAAAAACCTTATTTCATTAAAACCATATTTAAAATTTGCTAAATTAAACTTCACTTTTTTAGGTTGAAGAACTGAGTGACAATCATTTTACAGACAAAATATAATTAACCCCCTTTTTTTTTCTTTTTTTTTTTTTTTTTTTTTTTAAATTTTTCAGGATGGGATTTAACCTACTTCCCTGTCTACCGTGGTTACATAGTCACCCTTGGCTGGTGTTTTGGAATTCTTATACTTGCTGCTATCTGTTTGCGAGTTCGATTATAAGATTTTTCAACAGCATTACTTGGTCATGTAATGAATATTACACTATTTACAAACTCAAAAAAAAAAAAAAAAAAAAAATTAAAGAAAGAAAACTAAAAAAATGTCTATATTTTATGAGAAATAATTATTTTAATATTTAAGATACCCAAATAAAAGATTTCTGAAAACAACAATTCACGTAAAAAAGATCAACAAATATTTATCCAATTTTCTTTAGTACTGATAACTGGAGAACTTAAAACGATTACTTGGTTACTTATTTTAGTGCCTCATTTAAATAAATTAACTGTAAATAATCAACAGTGCCTTTTTATAGCCATCTGTCACTTATATTATTGCTAACTAAGACTTCTTTTACATTTACATAAGTAGCAAAGTAATCGTTCTAAGTAATGCGGTTAATTGAAATAAGTGCTGCATAATTTGTTGTGATTTTCTTTCACTTTCCTCTTGCCTGTTGGGTGATTTGGTTACATAATTTTTTCCATGCATGAAATAGGGACTAATTTCGGGTTAAAGTGTGTCTGTTTTTATTTTGAAGTTTGTAAGTATTTATTTGTGTTTATTTTAATCATTCATTTCATTGAAAATCTTTACAGTTTCCACATTTTTAATTTTAAATTGTCTGTTTTACTCCAAATAAATTTTTTGTCAAAATTATCGATTAAAGATGGAGAAAGTAACACTAGAAACAGCAGTAGTAATAGCAGCAATATTGGTTATTATTTTGCTTAAGCTTAAACTTTTTCAAACAAAAAAACAACAGGTATTTTTAATTTTAAATGTTTATTGTTTACTAATTTTAATGAAACCAGACAGAGAATAATGCTGAAAATGACAGACTTCTTAACATTTTATAGTAAAAAAAGAAAGCTAAAAATACTTTTGATAAAATTTCTATTTTTTTCATGTATTTTTAAGAGAATTCCTGAAAATTACTGGCATATTTGTAAAAAATAGGGAAACCTTTTTTCAAGGGAATATTTTTTTGAGATTAGCATTCATTAGAGATGTTTCTCACAAGATTCAAGACACATTTGTCAGAATTAAAAAAATATTAATTTTTTTATCGATTTAGAAGTGGGATCCTGCTCATAATATATAAACACTGTAAAATCATACTCCAGCTATTTCCAGAGTTACCTGGGCTAACTGTTATTTAATAGCTGTCAGGTTTGAAACTGCACTTACATCATTGATATCTGCATATATTTTTTCAATTTTTCCAGTTTTTAAGACTGGAAGCAAACTTCTTTATCTGCCCAAGTTAGCTACTGTTGTAATATTTTTTTGAAGGATCAGCAGACCTCCACTGTCATTTCCCCAGGAGAAGGAATACTGCCATCTAAAAAAAAAAACAATAGATTTATTATCTTGGGCATAACCCTTATGGAATGGAGGGGTTGGGGAATAGTCCAAATCTTTCTTTGCAAAACCAAACTAAGGTTTATCTGTTTATGTTTTTTTTTTGTCAAATTATCAACATTTAAACTAGCTTCTAAATTTGAGATAGACAATGAGTCATTAGTAACCCCACAGGAAACAAAATATGATTTATCAAAGGACTTCTGAATTCTGAGAGTCAACATTTCTAGAATTGGTGTTTCAATAAAAACACAGTGGAGAAGGCAATGAGAAAACCATTACACTCTTTATCTCAACAACAATCAATTCACAACTTAGAAATATCAGATGAGGACATGAAGGGTGAAAGCTTCCCTGTAACTGACTCCTTGCTTGATAGGGAGAGACATATGTGACAGATATCATCTGACCTTTAATCCAGTGCTTGTTTTCAACAAAGATAAGATCAGAGTTGTAAATCTGGAATACTGCACCGATGCTGAAAATTAGAGAATGGGAAATAGAAAGACTTAATATTTAGCACCAAAGAAGAAATAGGCAAGTTTTACAACACAGAAGAAAATGCCAAACTTCAAAGCAAGTCACAAGAAATTATCATCATCATAGGGGAACCTAAATGTCAAAATACAAAGGGAACAATATAAAGAAATAAACTGTGGTCATGTAACACTAAGTAATTTAAAGAGACAATGAAATCAATCAAACAAAGTAAGAGATATTTTAAAAGGAATTAAACTGCAAAAATGGTGGTCAATGGACATATAATATGAAGAAAAGATAATAGATGGAGCAAAAGGTTGCTTGATTGGTGCCTAATTACTAAAGAAGTAATAAAGACCAAACAGAAAAGAGATGAGTGAGAGATATTTATTGAGACAAGGCTAAGAATAGCATGGTCATGGTCGTCATGGTCGTCATGGAAGGAGTTGGGAAAAGCCTTTGTTCATCAATGAACTCACAAGGGCTGCTGCTGTTGATGATATATATGCTGATTATACAGAGTGTGGCAGAAATACCTCCCACATATACTTCCCAGAAATATCGCCACATAATTGTAAGGCATTAGCTAGAGGAAGACACCATTGCCACAAATGTTTTACCATTATGTAGGAGATATTTTTGAGAGTTATATGTCAGTGGTATTTCTAATACACCATGTATATGTGGCTACATGGACCTGAGTTTGAATCTCAGCATGGTAAGTTTATCAAAGCAAGAATACTGAAAATATTAGCCTAGGGAGACAATTCCAGTCTACAGCATCAATGGTAAATGCTTGAAAACCCATACCATTGGGAGACCCAAAGTGTGTGAAATTGGGTAGACAAAACTGTTTGGATGCAGTTAATGGTTGTGATAACACAACATTACATGTCATTATGACTGAAGATTTGAACATTGTTCAACTTCTGATCATGACTGTGCTTTCAGAAACTGTAACTAAGGTCTGCTCAGCATAGTTGCAGTATAAAACACAGGTTGTCTCTGTGGGTGTTCAGGAAACATAAATGTACCTGATTGGAAATGTGTTGCCAACCATTATATATCAGTCAGTCGGTTATGCGCCATGCATGATATACGCTTTTGATACATGACTGACGAGGCAGATTTTTTCCTGCAGTAGGTTGCCATTACTTTCTGTGGTAGACCAGTTGCCATCCAAAGCCATAGAACCTGGTCTGTCCTGCTATTTACCCATAGCTGGGGGGGAGAAGAGAATTTATACCTTTCCCAAGGGTATTAGCATGTAAGTGAATGCAATGGATTCGACTGGAATTTGAACTTGGCTCTCCAATTCCTCAATATTGACATAATAGGAAAGAACAATGAGATTTATAATTCAGAGTTCTTAGCATTTATTTTTATTTAAAAAAAAATAGTGCTCTATACAACCATATATATATATATATATATATATATATAGAGAGAGAGAGAGAGAGAGAGAGAAATATAATTAGGAGGATTTGAAATAATCATAATTAATTAATTCATCGAGTCTAGGAGAAACCTCAATAGAATGCAGGAAGCACTGAACGGCCATTTCATCCTATATTTGATGAAGCAGGTAATGAAATAGCGTCGCTCGATCACAAATTCCGTTGTGGAACTTCTCCGAGTTTCTCTTTTACCCATAGAACTGTGCCTCCCCAATCTACGACTACTGTCCCCAAGCCATTCACTCCAGAGCATTAGAAGCCGTTTCAAGTAAGGATATACAGAGAGAAATAATTAGGAGGATTTGAAATAATCATAATTAATTAATTAATTCATCGAGTCTAGAAGAAACCTCAACACGGAATTATATGATCGAGCTGCACTATATCGAGTCTAATTCGTTACCTCTTTGTCACCGAGAACCGTTGGTATGGTGTTTGCCTCCTATTGTAACTGTTCGAGTTTCAATTCTCGGTAGTGCATGCACACTGTTGATGAATCCCAAATATAGGACGAAACAGCCGTCCAGTGCTTTCTGCATTCTGTTGAGGTTTCTTCTAGACTTGATGAATTAATTAATTATGATATATATATATATATATATATATATATATAATAGCTGGGTGCTCATATATGCTTGTCTACTTAGGTGGCTAACCCATCCCTGTTGCAGACGTCAATTCAGGTACATTTGAGTTTGTTCAACATGTGCAAAACCCACCTGTCGCTTATACTGCAACTATATTGAGCAGACATTAGTTACAGTTTCTGGGAGAGCACACATTATTTAGTGTGGTTAAGTTTGAAGAAAGCTTTCAAATAGTTCTGTCTACCCAATTTCATTCACTGGGGTTGGGTTAACCTGTGGTAAGGTTTTCAGGCACTTTCCAAAGGTACAGCATACTGGGATTACCTCCTCCAGGTTGATAGCATCAAGAAGTCAACTTCCTGACAAATTGACCATGGTGAGATTCAAACCTGGGTCTCATGGCTGGAAAGCGAATGTTGTAAATTCTTGGCCATGTACCCAACCGTATATAAGAATGTTTGGAAAGTAACTATGTATTACACAGCTATGAATTATGAGTCAACCAACCATGATAGGAAACTGTGTCTGGAATTTGGGTTTCTCATGAGTTTTTTCTTGAGAAATAAACACAATGTTTCATCATCTGCAGCAGTTTTTTAACCAGGAATGACATCCATTTGTTTCTTGACTACTTTGTTACATGATGATAAATGGGTTTGTCATTTCTATAGAAAATGAGAAACCAGCATCAACACCAAAACCAGGATTCCATTCACAGAATTCTGTGTTTATGTCTGGTGGAATAATATGAAAGATGTCCATGAAGAGCTAGTAGAATGTGGAAGGCTCTTCACTACAGACATTTATAGCCAGGAGTAAATGAAGTATTATTTCAAAATGTCCTTCTTTAAGAAAAGTTTCATTCTCCAGTATTACAATGTAATGCAAAACAAACCTAAGAAAAAATAAGAACATCAGGATGGGAGGTTCTCTGGTATGCACAAATATGAAAATATAATAGTAAATAAAATTAAAATAAGGCATTTGCTTTCCTTAAAAATTCATATCTCTTTTTTCCTCTCTCTTTTTTTTTCTCTCTCTCTCAACTAATGAGAAGGCAACTCTCATAAAAAGAGGAAGAAGAAAAGACTCAACAACTGCTGTGTCTGGA